TTTAAAGTCTGACAAAATGTCGTGTGAAGTGTACATTTGTTGTTAAAAGATCTTTATTTTGTAATGATTTAGAACTCTGCCCCTCCACTTCACACTCTCTGCTTTAAACACAAATATAAAAAACAAGTGTTTGCAAGTTACAAACGTGAACTTCGTGAGTTGCTTTTAGAGGGTTATTATAACTTGAGTTAAAGATAATTTTGTTGGAAAATCATCCCGACTAGTGCGAGCCACCCAACATGATAAGAAAGACTTCAAACCATAACTACACTTACAGCTGTGGCATAACCACGTATTTTAAGGCAATGATTCCAACAAGTGAACGATCGAATAAATTCTTTAGAGGAAATACAGAAACGTTCTTGGCCAAGCCACACCATACAACTTTTTCGACATTTTTAGGCTTAGATATTGTAATTTTCAAACGAACGGGTATTTTTATCCCACGTGTGCCCGTTCAAAATTAACCTCCCCTGTTTCTTGGGTTAGTCTTGTACGCGAGTTAATTTATGAACGTTTTTTAACAGTAATTTTACACTTTTTATCACATTTAAGTGAGGAGGTTTTATGTTAAGTGCCGAACAGACCAAGTAAACTGTACGATGCTGAGTGAAAACGCAATATAAATAGTTTTGTTTAGATGTACTAGTTAGAACCTGTGTTATCGTACAGCTAAAGTGACGTGGGCCTACGAAAGAGAACAGACCAGATGGGGTAGGACCGGTTGTTAATCCGAGAGGTGTTGTGATCGACCTAAATGTGTTAATCACCGGTGTTATGTATTCTAACAGGAATATTGTATCCCCCCCTCTTTAATTGTTTACTAATTTGTTGTATGTTTCGTGTACATAACACGTTCGATATTGTGTTAGCCCTAAACACACACAGTCGTGTAGACTTGACGTTAATGAGGAAAAATAATTTATTGTTGGAGGTGTGTGATCACAGAGCCCCCTAGAACTACTGAACATAAATGTATATTTCTTAATAATATAAATTATCGGTCTCTGTAAGCTCAGATGCTTATTTTTGTCCTCGTTAGTTGATTTATAGCATGTTAGGTTAATGTTCCAATTATGTGGTTATTAGTGTTGAGAGCCCCCTAGCGGTTACGCGGTAAATTACTCTGCTAAATTCGGCGTATCTGTGAAAATAAATTGAAGAATTTTAGAGCAAATAGTGTTAGAAAAATTATAAAATATTAAGTTAAAAAAAAGCTATTTAAATAAAATTAGAATTGACAGCAGTGTGTGTGTTAAGTACAGTTCTGTCAGAAACTCCCACGTGCTCCATATTTGTAAATAGACGGAAGTCTTGCCCATGTAGGTGGCTTCACAGCTACCACATGTTGGATATCTTATATTTTTGGTGAATTGTGATAACAAATATTTTAAATTATGAATGACTTGCATTCTGTGATACGTTGACTATTTTCACTTGTATACACTGTGATGGAGATGTTTAAATAAGTTACCCAGAAGATGTTGTAGTATCTATTTATATTTTATCAATAAAATCTGACTGGCTCCGTTTGTTGTTGTTGTTGTTGTTGCTAAATCAGTCTATCCACAGATGAAACGAGCTTCTCAATAAACTAGAAAAATTAATCGGCAAAACCCGTCATTATTTTACTTATCCTGATTGATTTAAAAAAAACAATAAAATTTTTCATTTCCCTTCTCTGTACGGCATGAAAATGCTCTTACGTATATGTGAGGTAAACCTAGTGGTCTAACTCTGAACATGTCGGGCCTTGCAGGGAAGGGAGGGGGCACCTACCTCCCCCGGAAAATGAGAAACAAATCTTTCTTTATTCCATATTAAATTCACATTTGTAAAAAATAAACACAATCGGATATTTCGGTAATTTTGTGTTAAAATACGCACTTTTTTTTGCGTATTCCAAGAAAATTATTTTGTGACGAAAATTACAAAGGTATTTTTGAAAATTTCGGGACAATTATTTTTTTCACGTTATTGGACTAGGAAGATGCTTCTCGTGTACGGTTTTTCAAAATGGACATCTGAGGTCCTAATATTTGACCGGTTATTTGTTATCTATATTCTGTCCTTGGTCGATTATACTTCACTTGTAAACACTATTAGGAATACCATTACGGTATTCTTTGATTACATTTGTGTGGTTTTATTAAATAAAGTTACGTAGGTGTGGTTTTATTAAATAAAGTGACATAGGTGTGGTTTTATTAAATAGAGTTACATAGGTGTGGTTTTATTAAACAAAGTTACATAGGTGTGGTTTTATTAAACAAAGTTACATAGGTGTGGTTTTATTAAATAAAGTTACACAGGTGTGGTTTTATTAAATAAAGTTACATAGGTGTGGTTTTATTAAATAAAGTTACATAGGTGTGGTTTTATTAAATAAAGTTACACAGGTGTGGTTTTATTAAATAAAGGTACACATGTGTAGTTTTATTAAATAAAGGTACACATGTGTAGTTTTATTAAATAAAGTTACACAGGTGTGGTTTTATTAAATAAAGTTACACAGGTGTGGTTTTATTAAATAAAGTTACACAGGTGTGGTTTATTAAATAAAGGTACACATGTGTAGTTTTATTAAATAAAGGTACACATGTGTAGTTTTATTAAATAAAGGTACACATGTGTGGTTTTATTAAATAAAGGTACACATGTGTAGTTTTAGTAAATAAAGTTACGTAGGTGTGGTTTTTATTAAATAAAGTTATGTCAACGTGAATTTGTTCGTATTACCGCGTAAATTTTTTTTTCAACTAGACCAGGATTTATCAGTCTAACACATAATGCCTGCAAAAAAGCGTAGCTTAAATGCTGTGCGTGAAAATGATAGAATAAGGAAAATTCAATCATATGGCATTAAAACTACCGCGGCTGGTTGTCTATACGTTCTCTCATAACCGCTATGATAGTCGTACCCAACAATAAAAAAATGGCGTTTTTTGAGTTATTTCAATTTGAGGCTTCAACAAACATTTTACTTCATTGTAAATAATTCTTAGTGATTTTTAACTCTGGGACGTATGTTTCAGTTGCTGAAACGGATAGGCCGGTGTGTAAAAAATGTTGTTAAAACGTAGGACTTGAAACGTCAAGTTTGGTTGGTTCAGATACGCGGAGATGATAGGCCTACATCATATTCCGACATATGGCGTTGTTGGTGATATGATGTTCTGTGTTATAATTAGAGATTTGATAAGTAGATCATAACGTTGTTTGTTTTTACTATCTGCGCTAGTCGTCCCTCATTTTAAACTAATAGATTAGGGGGGAGGATTGACATTATAACATTACCAACTCTTGGCCTACGCTAATTCGAATAGTGGGATTTGACTGTCATTTTTATAACGCAGAGCGAGATTTTCGGCAGAACATAAACCATCGTATCCACAGTCTGGCAAGCTAACTAGTAAATCACACCCGGCCCAAAGTTATTTGTATATCCTGTTAACTATTAACCGTGGTTATTTGTATATCCTGTTAACTATTAACCGTGGTTATTTGTATATCCTGTTAACTATTAACAGTCGTTTAGAGGTTCAGGTGTGGTATTTGTATATCCTGTTAACTATTAACCGTGGTTATTTGTATATCCTGTTAACTATTAACCGTGGTTATTTGTATATCCTGTTAACTATTAACAGTGGTTTAGAGGTTCAGGTGTGGTATTTGTATATCCTGTTAACTATTAACCGTGGTTTAGAGGTTCAGGTGTGGTATTTGTATATCCTGTTAACTATTAATCGTGGTTATTTATATATCCTGTTAACTATTAACCATCTATCATCCAATACAAGTGATTGTAAGGGATGCATCTATCATCCAATACAAGTGATTGTTAGGGACGTGTCTATCATCCAATACAAGTGATTGTTAGGGACGCGTGTACCATCCAATACAAGTGATTGTTAGGGATGCATCTATCATCCAATACAAGTGATTGTTAGGGACGCGTCTACCATCCAATACAAGTGATTGTTAGGGACGCGTCTACCATCCAATACAAGTGATTGTTAGGGACGCGTCTACCATCCAGTACAAGTGATTGTTAGGGACGCATCTATCATCCAATACAAGTGATTGTTAGGGACGCATCTATCATCCAATACAAGTGATTGTTAGGGACGCGTCTATCATCCAATACAAGTGATTGTTAGGGACGCATCTATCATCCAATACAAGTGATTGTTAGGGACGCGTCTATCATCCAATGTAAAATGATTGCTAGGGACGTAAGTTAGAACACAACTGTCATCAATTCTGCTTGGTTTACTGACATTTAGACAATTGGTGTTGAATAAAACTGTGAAGACACTTGTATTACACCCCCTGGTGGTTGACCCAGTATTGATATGTGTATCATATTGTTACATGTAAACATTCTTTGTCACCACTAACTTCTGTAATGTACGGCTTACTTCTGTAATATCGTGTAAAGTTTTACGATCTGTATGTTTATGTAATATAAAATTTGGCTTGCGTAATATTCCACGTGATTGTTAGGGACTCGTCTACCATCCAATACAAGTGATTGTTAGGGACGCGTGTACCATCCAATACAAGTGATTGTTAGGGACGCACACAGAAAACCTAGCGAGATAAGGCGTTTCATGAATGGAAGTTGTTACACAGAAAACCTAGCGAGATAAGGCGCTTCATGAATGGAAGTTGTTACACAGAAAACCAAGCGAGATAAGGCACTTCATGAATGGAAGTTGTTACACAGAAAACCTAGCGAGATAAGGCGCTTCATGAATGGAAGTTGTTACACAGAAAACATGGTGAGATAAGGCACTTCATGAATGAAAGTTGTTACACAGAAAACCTAGCGAGATAAGGCACTTCATGAATGGAAGTTGCTGCTACATATCTGCTACAGTCATCGTTCTGACCCACATCGCACAACAACGTATACTGTCACCATCCAATATAAAATATAGGGACTCGTCTACCATCCAATACAAGTGATTGTTAGGGACTCGTCTACCATCCAATACAAAACAACTTCCATTCATGAAGTGCCTTATCTCGCTAGGTTTTCTGTGTAACAACTTCCATTCATTAAGTGCCTTATCTCGCTAGGTTTTCTGTGTAACAATTCCAGGTAATTGGTCTATGAAACAGAACGTCGTTTTAAACGTTGTTACAGACTCCTCCTTGGTTGAGTACGTTGTTACAGACTCCTTCTTGGTTAAGTACGTTGTTACAGACTCCTCCTTGGTTAAGTACGTTGTTACAGACTCCTCCTTGGTTAAGTACGTTTTTCTGGGTTGTATTGACAATTGAAAACACAACTTTCAGATCAAAAGCGACTTTTGTAAGTATTCATTTCCAGGGGCCCCCACCCCACCTCGAGGTGGGAGGTGAATGCAGGTGGTTTTTAAAAGTCGTATATTTCATGTTGTTTACAAATATTTATAAACTTGAATCTTGTTATTCGACTACAGTATTTTTACTTTGATACTGACATATTTCTTCTGCTGTACAACCCTTGATTTATGAGAAGCCAATGACGTCAAATCACCCTGGGAACCAAGACTGAAACTAACTCCAACTGTTTCAGTACTGCTGGCCTTAGGGCCAAGACTTGTCGACTGACTCAAATTTACATCCAGATCAACAGAATCTGACCCATGCAAGAGTTTGGATGCTGAGTAAGTCCGTCTCATTCCCTTTGTGTCAGGTTTCTTGGATCCTGAAATGGAAAAATTTGAAGATGACGCCGTCATGCGCAGCGAAAACGCCTCATTTCGGGGACTTCGTGTTGAGTAAGTGGAACCTGGGGGCAGTTTAACGGGGGACTGTTTTGGGGATGGAGAACCACATCGATGTAGATAAATATGGCTGAGAGGGACTCCCCCATTAACTTGCTTGTCTCTTGCGAACGTGAGGACATCCATGATCCAGCGGACATCTTTCCAAATGTTGTCTATTTGGGTCTGGAACATTTGGAGCTGACACAACCTTTCTTTGGCCGATACAACTTCATACGTGAAGAAGGCCTGGAAGATCAAAAGTGCATGATACAACTACGATCTTAAGCCTTTTAACAACGAACACATCACTGTTACAAAAGTGCCTAATACAACTACGCTCTTAAGCCTTTTAACAACGAACACATTACTGTTACAAAAGTACATGATACAACTATGCTCTTAAGCCTTTTAACAATGAACACGTTACTGTTAAGTCTTTCACTGTCGGGTTTACAGATAAACAACTCTTCCAGTACAGGGTCCATTATTTCCTACATAATAAGAAACAAACAAAAAACGTTTTAATTTTTCATTACTTATATTGGTAAATTTTGGCAAGTAATACCTTTTTTTTTCGTGGTGGTATCAAAGTTGTATTGTCTATGTTTTTGTTCCAGTGAAACGGTAAAATAATTAATTAATAATAAATAACAATAAATGTTAGTTTCTTTATCAACAGGTTATATAATTCACGAAGGTTTCATAACACCGATTTATACTTTTTACCAATACCTCTTACTGGTAGGGATTACTTGGAAAAGGACAACTAGTTAGGGTTAGCTAGAAGATACACACGGTAGTGTTTATCCGAGGCGTTTATAAAATAAATATTTTTTGCTGTTAGGGGGGACTACTGCAATACAATCTAGATAACGAGATGAAATCATAAAAACATTAAAATAATCAAAATATACTCGGGAATGATTTCAAAAAACTTTGTCCAAAGAATGGCAGTTATCCAAATTTCATTTGTATTTCAAAAACTTTTTAAAAAAAAACAATTTATCCCAACTAAATCTTTTTTTTTTAATCACTAAAAATTTGGATTTACGCAAAAAAGATAAAACGAGGAACCCTGTCAGTGTTCAGAGTTTTACACACAATTGAATTAGACCAAGATTCAGATATTCAATAACAGATTGGACCTCTCAGTTCTTCATTCAAACGCCATCTAGCGAAACAATGTAAAGTTAGGATAAGCAAAACGGAAGCGTTAAGCAGTTAAAACATGAGCGTTGTCTTCTCTAGTACTGGCTCAGTAACTATAGTTTTTGGACTTCGTTCTCACTCCCCATTCTTCGACTGCTATACATACCGGGTCTGATACTAGAGGTGGGGCGCGCGAAATACCTACCGGGTCTGATACTAGAGGTGGGGTGCGCGAAATACATACCGGGTCTGATACTAGAGGTGGGGTGCGCGAAATACATACCGGGTATGATACTAGAGGTGGGGCGCGCGAAATACATAGCGGGTCTGATACTAGAGGTGGGGTGCGCGAAATACATACCGGGTCTGATACTAGAGGTGGGGCGCGCGAAATCGTTAGCCACACCTTCCAGTTTTTGCAATATATATACAAACAAGCATATGTAAGTATTGATGAGTATTTAATACATCTATTCATGTACGTAAACCTAATATTACATCGGTTTCATTTATTCTCTTGCAAAAGCAGGTTATAATTTTTTTCCATCTTCAAACACGTTAAACCTTCGCGCTTAAGTCAGAGAAACTTTAGCTGTTATAAAAAAAGAACGTAAATATTGGTATGTGTACAAGTATAAGAGAGCGAAACTAGGCTTACCTCTCTCTGTGCGTGCTGTGCCATCAGCGTGTCCATTTCGAGGATTGACGAGAGTCGAGAGTAGTTGGCGATGAAGTTACTCTCGTAAGTTGTCATATTTACTGTTGATGAAAGAGAAGTCATTTTACACATATCGTAGACGTTCACACTGTAAACATAAGTAACTGTGCACATTCACATTATCAACACAAGAATACGTGAAGGTTCACACTGTAAACATAAGTAACCGTGCACATTCACATTATCAACACAAGAATACGTGAAGGGTTCACACTGTAAACATAAGGAACAGTGAAGGTTCACACTGTAAACATAAGGAACCGTGAAGGTTCACACTGTAAACATAAGGAGCAGTGAAGGTTCACACTGTAAACATAAGGAACCGTGAAGGTTCACACTGTAAACATAAGGAACCGTGAAGGTTCACACTGTAAACATAAGGAACCGTGAAGGTTCACATTATCAACACAAGAATACGTGAAGGTTCACACTGTAAACATAAGGAACAGTGAAGGTTCACACCGTAAACATAAGGAACCGTGAATGTTCACACTGTAAACATAAGGAACCGTGCACATTCACATTATCAACACAAGAATACGTGAAGGTTCACACTGTAAACATAAGGAACCGTGAATGTTCACACCGTAAACATAAGGAACCGTAAATATTCACACCGTAAACATAAGGAACCGTGAAGGTTCACAGTGTAAACATAAGGAACCGTAAATATTCACACTGTAAACATAACTAACCGTAAATATTCACACCGCAAACATAAGGAACAGTGAAGGTCCACACTGTAAAGATACATTTCAAAAAGTTCGAGTAATCAAATAAAATATTTATCAACCATTTTACAGAAAATAAAAGTACGTTTTGTTCTTACAGGACCCTTCAAACTCCTGACTGTTTATAAAAAAAAGGATGCAGTTGCTATGGATGCACATTACGTGTTTAACTAACAAATACTTCGGAGACTAAAGAGACACCTATAATATATAAATATATGTGTGTATGTATGCTATTAGCTACATCAACTTAAAGTTTATTAAAACTTAGTGACTTACGCATTTCAAACACTTGGATGGGTAGAGGCATACAATCCATACGAGACGTTAGCTCATCATACTGACCTGGCACAGAACAAATGTTCTCAACAGGTGGCAGCACCAAGATAAAAGAAACGTTGGGACTGAACTCGATAACATCAATATCGTATAGCCTGTAGACAAATGCGATAAAGAAATTAAAATATTTTGAAAAAAAAAATTAACTTAAATCAAAAATTTTTTTAAGTACTATAAAAGGAGAACAAACATAAGTAGTTATATTAATGCAATTATAAAAAAAAACAGTGTAGGGAAAAAATATTACACGTACCTGTGTAAGCCTATTTCTTCGAACGGAATGTCGTAAGAGGAAAATAGAGTCCTAACTGCCGACGAAATTGCCTTTTGAAATTTAAGTTGAACGGTAGATGGCGCAGCAGAATTTCTTTGTGATTTCAGAGCTTTTATCCATTCCCACTCCTCCCTATCAACAGATTCATTTTACGTTATTTATTTTTGATCAGAAAATGTAGCTATACATTCTGAAATGACTTGTGAATCGGTCATGACTCTGTATTATGGATTAAAGTATTATTCCGCTTCTTTGCCCATTCAGGGTTCCTAGCACTACGAGCTAACTAAATTTAAAACCTTTTTAGGGCTAAACTAAAGATAAATTTACATGTAGACATGTATTTATATGTTATTTATTGGATCACATAACACTACAAGAGGAATATTAATGAAAAATACGTCATCATTAAAAATCCTATCATATATTTAGTTGAATTTTGCTTCAATAGGCGGCGAAATTTCAAAACTCAAAAGAATAATTAAGCAGGAAATGTATTAAGCTCAACTATTTGAACTGAACTGGTGTCGTCAAACGTTTGTAGCCCCTGAGTTTTATTTGTTTTCAGCTCTTTTATTTCAGCAAGTTTTTCTTTCGATCGTCTGCTGGTTACATTAGACTTGAGGTCAGCCATTTTTAATTACTGTGTATTTATCAGCTTGTTCAGTAAATTTATCTGTGCCCCCCAACAGAAGAGATTCTGTCACTTCATAAAGAATTTTTCTCTTCCTCTTCTTCTTGACCACTTCAACATCGTCTTCCTCTTCTGATGATTGTCTTCAGGGTCAACTTTGTTTGTTTGTTTGTGCGATATTTAGAGTTTGGATTCCAACATGGAGTAAATTAAGACGAATGTGAAAGGAAAAAAAAACACAATTATTTATTTTACGCGATTTAAAAAAAAAAAGAAGCATAAATGAAATAATTAAAACTTAAATAATTAAGACGAAATCAACCACCTTACGGCGTGTTTTATAACTCACCTAGACACGTGGGGATTCTCCCTAATACGGCTGAAAGGAAGTACATTCGGAGCTCTTCGTGGGGCTAACACCCTGATCACATCAACCGAACTCTTGAGCTTTACATAACCCACGTACAGTCCACGTGATAGAGGTGCTGTACTTTCTTCACTATAGCTAATCAGATGCTGAAAGAAATGACCGTTAAATCACGTGATGCTATACACCAGTATTCTAACTGCTACTAATTTTAGTAATGGTCAGTGTTATTTACTATCACTATTATTTATTATCACTAATTGGATGATCTTTTAAAATAGCTTTCTGTGTCGTACATGAAAGACACGTGGCTTGTTTGTTTGTTGAATTTCGCGCAAAGCCACACGAGGGCTATTTGCTGTATCCACCGTGAGGAATCGAAGCCTACATTTGATCGTTGTAATTTCGTAAACTTATCGCCGTCCCGTCAACTCTTGTTAGACCAAATAGTGAGTTCTTTCTGTCACCCCTATAACGCACACATGGCCCTAAATTGCGTAGCACAATTTTTATTATTATTTTTTTGTTTCTGGAGGTAACGGGACGCGAGCTTCGGATCCTCAGAGTCACGGTCAAACACGCTAATCATTAACATATCTAAAAAAAGTATTTTACAACTAAACGGCACCATATACAACACATTAAATAAACGACCAGGCCAGAGACTCTAGAGTTCAGATATTAACGTCCTTAAATTTGAACTACTTAACAGGGGAAGGGCAGCCAAAAAGCAGCACTGGCCGTCATAAGGGCTTTGAGAGTGTCTCGAACTTTGGATCTTACTATACGCAGCCAGGCACGTCAACTCATTACACCATTGCAATATTACCGTTAAGAAACAAATTGAGGGTTTTTATAAATTCGTATGTCATTTTATGGCACTAAAACTAAATTACAAATACCTGTGTTGATGATAACAACAACTCGCTAACACGTGGCGTCTCTCCTCCGTCACTGGGATTCACAGTTGGATGTTTTCTCAGGATCTTCGATAGGGGGAGCCACCGCACCGACAAGCTAGTGATTTTCTTGGGATCGGAGATGTACTTTACTGTACTTAAGACGACAATTCTTTTACTGTCTTTGATCGGCTTATAATATAACTTTCCAAGGTCTTGAACACCTAGCGCCATCTGAGAGAAAAACTCGTTTAGTGTAACTCACCAGAAAAAAAAAAAAATCAGCTGCAACAGCGAATGTTTATAAATGTTTTAATCAATTTTAAAGTTAACAGTTCTATTATTACTCGTTAGAGGACCAAAAGTTGGGAGCACGTGTCCCCCCCCCCCCCCCCCGGGTTCCGGTGTTAGAATGTTTATAAATGTTTTAATCAATTTTAAAGCTAACAGTTCTATTATTGCTCGTTAGAGGACCAAAAGTTGGGAGCACGTGCCCCCCCACCCCCCCGGTTCCGGTGTTATGGTTTGAGATAAGCCTCTCATTGTCTAGCCCAGATACTGAGTTCTGGTATTGTGCGAAAGGCCACCTAAGTAGTGACCACCTCAAGTATACAAATTGAGATGAATGTGTCGAAAATAAAAACATTTGCAGTTTACACGATTTTTTTTAAAAATGTTAGACTATAACCTGTTTATTAAACATTATGTATAGGCAGGAGAAATGTGTTCGTTCAGAGATAAAACTAATAATTTCATATATAATACAGAAGTACGTATTAGCGTAGGTACTCATACAAACAAAATTCAAACTATGCTCGATTACGGGTCTTAATATATTCATATCTTATATACGGATTACAAGATTAATGGACATATTCATATGATGTCATATTAATAACATAATGTGTTGGTTTATCTCGGCAGTTCCATCCTCTGAATTAAATTAAAACTATTAATAAATAAATTTTTAGAAAAATCTTAAAGCCAGCCCTTATCAGTCATATACTTATCAAGCTTTTTCTTAAATTCACTTAAATTTACTGCCTCTACAACATCTGAAGGTAACCCATTCCAAAGGCCAACCACCCTTTTAGAAAAATAAAACTGTCTTAGCTGAAGATGACTCCTACACTGCCAACATTTATATTTGTGTCCTCTAGTCCTAATATTCTCACTGTTAAATATAAAAAAGATGATGCATCAACACTATCAATTCCATTTACAATCTTAAACACCTCAATAAGATCCCCCGTAACTCTTCTTTTTTCAAGA